TCAACTCCCAGAATTCCCCAGCCAGCATGACTGGCTGGGGAATTCTGGGAGTTGAAGTCCACACATCTTAAAGTGGCCAAGCTTGAGAAACACCGTGCTAAGTCATCACAGGTGGTTTTTGTTGTTATTGTTTTGGTTTAGTGCAGGATAACCATGAGTTCTAAGCTGTGATTTATGGCTTCATGTTCTGTGTACTGTATGTCAGGCCACTGTGGCCTGTTCAAGAAGCCACAGTTAAAAGAAAGTATGTGAACCCAGGGAACAGCCTGGCAGGGATAAGGGCGTAGTCAATCTTCTCCACCCATCTCCACTCTGAGTCCTTAAAAAATAGAATTCTCTGGATTAACAAAAGTTTATCTGTTCACAGGAAAACCAAAGTGGCAGGTGGGAGGAAAATCAAAGAGGCTAAACCAAGGAACACACAAAATTAGCAAACAGGTATATGTTATTTTATTTTGTTTAACATTCAAGCCTCTGAAACTATGCTAACTTCTAGAAAGCTGCAAATGGTCCCATAAATCCCCTCAGTCACATTTTACTTGTTTTTGTCAAACTGCTAAAGCATTATATTGCCTGTACAGCGAACAAGGGGGTAGATTTTAGACGGTCGGCAAAAAGGAAAGAAAAAAGTCCTTCCAAAGGACATCCGCATGTGCTGAGGGTACATTTTCACTCTCTGGAGAAGAGGAAGCCACTGATACTGGCCTTTTGAACCACCTCGGGAGTGAAAACGGCCACCGTAACACAAATGCCCAACTGTTCAGCATCAATAATTGGACAGTATTAAATACAAAGCGAACGCTCACCACAGTAAAATGATCACCAAATACCTCTAATGGAAACTGAACACCTTCTCTCTGGGGACCAGCCGATCACTGTAGCAGCAGGCCTGGCCAGCTGAGAAGAGATTAATTTCCATATGTTAAGAACACGCACAGAGCCAGCTCTTAAATAATCCATTTTAAAGCAGTTTCATGAAACAAAACTTTGTACGCTTAGGCAGAATAAGACCCGGCGTGCTTAAACATAGACTGGGATCATGCATTGTGATTGTTTTATTACGGCTGTTGATTAATCCAAGGAAGCTGGGTTCATATGTCATGCTAAACCATGAGGGGATTTTTTTGGTTAGGATTAGGGTCAGTGAAGCTTATTGTGCCAACCCAAACTACTTATTGTGGTTTAGTCAACAAACTGGTTTAGCATGTTCCATCAACTCATTTACCGGATGGACTCACTCAACATGCTGTGGTCTACAAAAGACAGGATCAGAGTTCACAAAACATATAGCACAATGGCTTATTAGAACTATGGTTTGCTTGTGGCTTAGCGTGCTGTAGGAGCCCAGCCATAGTCTTTACCACATTTAATGGCTGGTTATCATTAAAAAAAATCCAAAATAAGTAAAATTATATTTATTTTTTTCCCCCTGAGCTTCCTTGGGTTTATTAGGCTCTGCTTATAAATGACAGCAAAGTGTTTGATCAGTTCTGCCTTGAAATTTTGCTTGAAATAGCCCATTTTGCCCTTGAAACAGGGCGTTTCAAATTTGGGGTAATTGGAATTGAAATGTTTGCACTCTCTAATTGGGGAGTTTTGAAGGGTGAGGTGGGACTGAACATGTAGCAGAAAAAAAAATGTGTAACACAAAATAACAGACAGACCTCTTGGAAAATGCTGAGTTTTCCAGGTTTAGTGCTGTTTTGAAACACAACAATTTGATTTTTGCGGTTTAATTTTTGCCTCTTCTTAAGCATGTTCCATTTTGCCTGTAGCTGGTTCCTCTCCCCCTAAAAAAAAAAAAAAAAAAAACAAGAGAAGCCATAAAAAAAGCCTTTTTGGATAAGTATTACTGACACCCCTTGGCTGTCCAGAGTTGGGGGCAAAGTTCTTCTCCAGTTTTCGGTGGCGTTGCTGGAGGCGGAACGGAGCATATTTGACGTGT